ATAGCTAAAAAGGACTGTATAAACCATTTTGTGTAAGCCTGCCTTTTAAAATTTAACTTAATTTTTTTATTTTAAAGAGAAAAAATAAAACAAAAATTTAAAACTAGATAATAGAAGGGTAACAATGGTTACTACATTGCCTATTGTTATCTTTAAATTAGTTACCTAAAGTACAAGACATTGTCATTTAATTAGACTAGTGCAACCGCTGTGGAGATTCCTCAAAAAGCTAGGATTGGTGCCTGTAATCCCAGCACTCCGGAGGCTGAGGCAGGAGGATCTTTGCAAGTTCGAGGCCATCCTGGGCTATAAAGTAAGCTCAAGGTTCGCCTGAACTGAATAGTGAGACCCTGTCTCAAAAAGACAAAACAAACAAACAAACAAACAAATAAAAACTAGGATTGGAGGTCCCATTCGACTCAGCTATTCCTCTTCCGGGTATCTTCCCAGAAGAATTAAAAGCCTGACCTTTAAAAGCCTCATACAAGGGGCAGGGTATTTAGCTCAGCGGCAAAAGCGCCTGCCTGGCAAGCTCAAGGTCGTGAGTTCGGTTCCCGGTACCGGAGAAAAACAAAAAACAAACAAACAAAAAAACCTCATACATAAAGATCTTGCCGTGACAGAATTACTCCCAAGCTGAGAACTGGTTAAAAAAGAAAAGGAGGTTTGTAGTTAGGAATTTTATAAAACAGTAAAAATCAAATCGAACAGTTTGAATATTAACATTTATCACCAAATGAAGCTAATGAAAAGTTTTGGGTTTTTTTTGATGCCGAGGCTTTAAAGCGGGTGAGTAGGGGTGTTTACTTCCCGTCTCCACCTCCTGCCGGTGCTCGTTACCCTCTCAAGGGACACTGGTGGCTCTGACATGATCCCAGTTTCACCTCTGGGGAAACAGCAGCTGTGAGCTCTGCAGCCCGCACGGCCACCGCGGGACGACAGGTCTCCCTCCTCGGGGGCATAGTAATTAAACAACGCTAACTGCCGCAATGTTCGGTGTGGAGGCGGGGGAGGATTCGTATTTCTCAGATGCCATCCCCGGCTTGAGGGTGGGTCCGCTGCTACTTCCTGGGTCTGGAGACGCGTTACTTCACAGCCTTGAATCTCAAGTTTCCCCTGCCCCCACGGTGCTCTGATCCTGACTGCTGGGGGTCGCGTTTGTGCTGCATTCCCTCCCCTCCTGAAGCTGCTGCTGACCCCACGCTGCCCCCAGCTCCCTGTGCAGATGGCTCGGTTTAACCAGGAGGCCGGGATCACCTGTGGGATGCAGGAACGTGGAGCAGTCTTTACGGTGACCGTGGAGGCAGTGTGCTTCCAGCTCAGCTGCTCCAAGAGGGATCAAAGTGTGACAGCCAAAGGCTGCACTGGGCAGGAACCAGCACACATCTTCATGTGTCACTGTAGGGCCTCCACGGACAGCAGTGAGCCACCAGCCTTTTCTCACATCCTGGGAAACAGTTGCAGAGCAAGTAGCACCCGGTGATACTGTCCCTTCCCTCTGAGTTTGTCCTAAAGCAGAGATCCTCAAACTTTAATGTGCATCAGAATTGCCTGGCAGTTCGTAAAAATCCCAACACCCAGAATGTGGCCCAGGTAAATTCAATCAATCTCTGGGACCGGACCCGAGCAGGAGGATGTTCTAAAGCTCCTCTGTGATTCCGGCCCCGTGGAGAAGCAGTGATTTTGAAAGAACCTTGTGCAGAAGCAGGATGGGCTGACAACGTCTCTATACAATGACGGCAAAACTGAATGTTGATGCTAAATGTCTGTGCAGCCACCTTACTGCGGTGCTGGGGACGCTCTCTCACCCCACGATGGTGGTGCAGGCCTCTCCCTGCGTGCAATCTGCAGACCCTGTCTAATATTTTCCATACCGGGCAATGAGATCACAAACTCCAAAACACTAAATCAAAACCGGAGGCATTACGGGTCTTCAATAAAACTCCATAGCCTGTATGAGGGGCAGGAGGAGAAAATTAAAACCATCACCGAACTGTGGATGTATTTCATATACATAAATGTAAATACACGTGTGTGGATATATGGACATGCAGCAGGCACTGGGAGGTGGGATAATTACATAAAAGTGATGGACTGAACAGATAGCAACGGGCTGCTCACAAGTAAGCATCCTAAGGAAAGTTCCTCATAAAAGACAACTGATTTCCAGCAAATGCCATCAAGGGAAGAAATAACAGATATGCTTAGAAGAAATTAAGTGAAAAGAGGGGGTGCCTACTCTGATGAGAATACACAGTCCTAGAGGCCTTTAAGACTTCTGGGCTTACACTAAACAAACCGACCACAGCTCAGGAACAAGGCTTTTATTCCAAAACAGCAATATTTCTAAGTAACATGAAAAACGAAATTGTTAATACTTAAATCTGATTATAACTTCAACCGTGGAAGAAAAGGGTGAAGGTAAAGGGGCGTTTGTGGGGTTATCTAGGTATCACTCCCACCCCGGCAGATTTAGATTTCAGTTCTCCGGTGGCAGAACCGTTATTATGAAGATTGTTTTGCAAACCCAAATACCCCCTGTCCAGGGCTTGAATTAGGGCTCTTTTCTCTCTGTGTGCTGTGGACTGGGGAAAACCAGTCTTTGATAAAAATTGGACAAAGGCAAGTAAACAATTCTTGGTGGAGAGAAAGGGAGTTAGCGTCCCTCCCCTGTGTCTTCCAGCTCCTCCTCAGTGCAGGAGCAGAAACATCTGCCGCATTCCCCTTGCTTTCAAGGGCAGCGTGCTCTGAGCTGGCTTCAATTAGGCCGGGCCAGTGTGGATGCCGCCTCCATCACACACGTGTCCACGCTTGCAGGGGACCTAGCCCACCTCTCTCACCCTTGCCTTTGCAAGTCACCTTCAGGGCGTCACAGTCACCCTTTCCCGTCCCTCCACAAACGGCGATTCTATCCTTTGCAAACCAAACCAAACTAAAAAAACAAAACCCCTCTTCCTGTGACTACCTTGCACGTCCCCCATCCTGAGGACCCAGGAGATATGCCTCATGGATATTTTAAGTTTCCCAAATATTTCCGTTTTCATATCAGCACTGTCACAGAAACAGTTTTGAGAGCTCGCTGAAAGGGTGGAATCTTGACCACTGCCCAGAGCCTTCTGCAGGATGTTTAGGTTGATTGGATGAAATGAAATAGTTCTAATTATACAATATTGGTAATTCTCTACAAGAGGAAACTGAGGCCCGTTGCTGGGGGAAAGCAGGGAGACACAGCAGTGGGCCCTGCTGGGATGAGGTCTACATGCAAGAATAACACAGGGCTCCTCAAAGACTCAGAGCAACCCTTTCTGCCTACAAAGGGCAGTAGCCCCTTGTTGTTTATTTTATCACCTAAACACTACCACTGTATAAAGTGTTTCTACTCTGACAGCAGTGTTGTAAATGTACCGGTCAGGTCCCACCACAGGGGGGAAAAGTATCTTAGATCTTCTTTTTCGATCTAAATTCCCCTTTTAATTCAAGTATGGGTTTCACGGCAAATCTGTTTTCTGTTTTTTCTCCTTTCATCTCTGAACGGAATCAAGGGATTCTAGCCATCCACTGTTTTGTTTATCACACAAAAATATGCATTTATTCCTACTTATTCATTTCATTTGAGGAAAATGATAAACAATTTTTCTTTGTTTCGCTGGCAGACCTGCATTTCCAAGGGCACTGCAGGGGTCTGTAATCAATGTAGGTGCAAAGAAGATGCTGCAACCCCGCCAGCCAGCCAAAAGCTTTAAGACCTCAGGCCAAGTAGAAACGGGCTGGGACACAGGCATGGATCCCGCGGAGGAGGGTAGCACTTCTTGCTCCTGGGGCTGTGTTTTAATGCTGATGGGCACCAGCCCGGGCCCCTTTCACTTGGGATCTGGGGAGTCTGTGGCTTTGGCAGGTGCTGCACAAGGGTCCAACCTCCTTGGTAAAGTGGGGAGGGTACAGGGGCCTCCAGCGGTGCTCTGCTCCTCGGCCCCTCTGTGTGAGTCCTTCTCTCTCCCTGTCCCTTTCTTCACCATCCTGGTCACTTCCCAGTGGTTTCCTTGCAGTAATACAATCCCTTTATCTCAGCTCTTCTGGGAGTTTCCACGTACTTTTTATCACTTGTACAAAAAATTTTTTTTCTTATTATTTTAAAGAGTGGTATGGAAGGATTGCCTCTGCAAAAATGTGTATGGGATGGGATGTCGCTACAACCCAATGCACAAAACTCATCTTTCGCCTGAGCTGGATTTTTAAAAAGTAAAGCTCAAAAATTTAGAGGCGGACTTGTTTGACTTATTTCGAACCCCAGGACTCACGGTGCGGTGCTCTTAAAAACGGCGAAAGTGCAGAGGGGCCTCCCTGGAAACCACCGAGGCGCGGTTCGCAGCAGGAGGATGAGCAGACCTGGGGAACCGAGCGAGGTTAGGCCCACGTTCCCGGCTTCCTCAGGACCCTGGCTGTGGCTCGGCTCAGGGTTCCTTCCCGGCAGCATCGAAACGCAAACCTGAGCGACCTGAATCGGACTCTCATCTGCTCGTTTGGTTCTCTCCTGCAAACGGTGCAACCAGCCTGGGCACCGCAAAGAGCCCACGCCGTTGCACATTTTATTTTGCAACCAAACTCGCTCCCCCATCAAAGTGCCCCACCAAAAACCTAAACAACGCTGGAGACGTGCAGTGGATGCGACCGTCGCTCCCCGGAGGCCGTGTTCCTCCAGCCGAGCTTTCAGGCGTTGGGCTCCCGGCCGGGGGAACTCCTGGCCTCGCAGTCGCCAGCCCCAGGCCCCCAAAAGGCAGACACCCCTTTACGCCTGCTCGGGTACTCCCCAGTGACCCTCAGCCTTCCTCTTCTCGCCCTTCTCCGGACGCTTCGGCCAGGTTCCAGGACTGAGCAGGGACCCGCACCCGTGCCCCGCCGCTGTGCACCCAGCCCCGGCAAGCGATCCCGTCCTTTCCCGGGCGCAGCGACCGCGATTCCCAGCCCGGCCACGCAAACCCGTTGCCCCGTAAGCTCCTCACCTCGCACTCGGCGCTGGTCAGCAGCTGTCCGGCCGAGAAAGCCCGGTGCTTCTGAGAGGGCCGCTCTCCTGCGACCCCACTTCGGTCCACCTCGCCCAGTGCAGCCCGCAGCGCGGGAATCCGCGGAGCCCGGCCGGGGGCCGACAGGGGGCGACAAACTGTAAGGTTTTCCAGGTGCCCGGCGGGGCCGAGCGCCGGGAGCTGGTTTGGTCGCGCCTGCGCCTGGGGAGGGCACCCAGGATTGCCTATCTGAGTGCAGCCGGGTTGCTCCCCTCGGCCTCTGCCCAGGAGAGCGCCTTCGCCGGAGCGAAAGTGCGTTCTGCACTGCGACTCCTGCCTGCGGAGCTGGGGCCGAACAGCTGTCACACAGTATTCGCTCTTCCAGGGTCCGAAGTCCTTGCCTAAAGGGGAGGAAAGTGGCCTCAGCTGCCTTTTTATGGTCCCAGATGCAGATCTCGGAGACCCATGGTGTAGGAACCCTTCCTTCTCGGAATCCCTTGCCTGACTTGAAAGCAGGGCACTTCTAGGCCGGAGGTGCAAAGGTTCCAGAGTACCTAGACAGCGTAGAGCGACCCTGCTTCCCAAAGCCTCGCGCGCTCTCATCCGGTGCTGTGCAGAGCGAGTCGCCCGACCGAGTGGTCCCGGGTCTCTGCTCAGCGCCGGATGGGCCGGACCTTTCATGTGGTCAGTCATTCTCCCAGGGCGCTGACCCTAACCCTCTTCCCGGCTCCCCAGACATACCCGAGGCTCCCAGAACACCGGATTCTGCGTCTTGGGGAAGGGGTTGAATCCTGGGCTTTTTCCAAACTGGGCTTTCTTGATTCTTGCCGAGCGTTCCAGCTGCAGCCCTCGGGGCCTGGGGCCTTGTGTGGTCCCCAGCAGAGCCCAGGAGAGCACAAGCCGGGCTAACCCCCGCATTCAGGAAGGCTAACAGGAGCCAGTGTTGCTCTGGAGCCCGCCAGACAGAGGGAAGGATCAGGGCCTCCACCAGCAGCCTGGCCACCTGGGTGGGGTTCTTGAGGGCCTGGGTCTGTGGAGAAGCGCTTGTCTTTGAAGGAGAGATATCTTTTTGCCTTCTCCTCCGAGAGAGCTGTGAGTTCCCAGGAGGCCTGACTTGGACTCCAAGCTGTCCTAGACTCCAGTCAGGCCTTCCTCCTCCTTCTGTCTGAAGCCTCCCCGGTGTCTTTGGGCTCCAAATGCCAAGATTTCCCCCTTCCCTTGTCCTCTGGCCCCCTCTGTGACTGGCAGCCTGGGAAGCGCCGAAGTGTTCGGTGGGTGAAGGCAAGCCAAAAAGAGTTGGCATCTGGTGCCAGGGCCAAATAATTCAGTACTGTGCACCACCCCTGCCCTTAAATACAGGGGACAGGACCTTTCTGTGAGGGGTGAGGGAGGCTGGGTGGCCCGGGTTAGTGGGAGCCACTTCTGCAGCCTCCTGCGCATCCTAGCAGTCCTTGCAGTCCAGCAACAGCAGGTAGGAACGGTCTTCCCTGCGTCCTGGGTCACCTCCAGAGGGGCAGGAGCTCTGGTAGGTGGGCTTGGCTGCGGGAGGCAGAATCCAGATGCCCTCCCAGGGAGATGAAATGACCCCACCACTCCAGGAGGTAGGCGGCTCTTAGATGCGGAAACCAGTTGTGCTGGTAGCAGGACTGGCGGGATGGCCGGAAGTGGGGCGTCCTGCACCAGGGGCATACTGTCTTCTTCCACCCTGGCCCTGGCACAGAAGAGCTGGAGTCTTGACCCTTTTCTTTTCTTGCTCCTGGCCAGGGAGGGGAAGTGGAGGCAGGTACCCCCTAACCCTTGCTATGATCAACTGTCCCCTTCTGATGTCTTATTAACAAAGGTGGCCGAAGTGGAAATAAAACTAAAACCAAAACTAGAATTAGTGTTAGTACTGAGCGCCGTATAATCATTTTGAAATGACTTCCCTACCATTCCTGGAGGCAGGAAGGGGCCCAAGGATCATCACAGGCCCAGCTGGGTTAGGGACAGTTGTGTTTGTGCAGCGTGTTGTTGCGGGGGGGG